CCAGACTCACTAGGACAAAGCATGTATAAGATAATTTTGATAATTTTCAACTGTGATGAAAAAGAGTTGACCAGAAAGCCTGTACACTTTTAAATGACCACTCCATTGTGTGTCCACACAATTCTTAATCCTGACATAGGGCGACTGAACTTGCTAGCTTTCTCTGCTACTCTTCTATACTCTGGCTCAGTTGTCTCATCATTAAATTAGAGATAAGATCATATACGTCCACAGTGTGGTTGTGTAAAATTCAATATGAAAAACAAAATGAACCCAGAGATACCATTTTCATGAGCTAGGATCAAGTATGAACTCACTAAAGGTTTAAGAAAAATGACACATCTTTGGAAGTATAGTCCAAGGCAGAAATTGATACAAACCAACCACAGAACTAATACAAATTCATTTTAACACATTTCCAATGGAAGATTTACTGGTTCATTTGTTAACAAATTGATAACAAAATTGTATTATTAAATTAATGAAATTTTATCATTCATCTCATAAATATTCATTGAAACTTTATAGTCCTAGCTACTCTTCTAGTTCTGAGAGTAAAGAAATCAACACAAATAGCAACATGTAATTGTATTCATGGAGACTGCCATGTTGTGAGGAGGGTGAAAGCAACCCTTCATTTACCTATGGAAGTGGAACAGACTTAACAAGGCAGCACGACCCACTCAGTGAGCACAGGCCCCTCGGGAAGCCTGTGACTGACCAGTTGTGATGTTAGCATGAGACTGCCTGTACTTCATCTTTTGGCTGGGGATTTACGCCTCAATGTCTCAATAACTACTCCTTTTCATTGAGTTTGTGATACCGATGATTTAAGGTGCAGCATTTAACTTGTAAAAGTCATTAACTCAATGAATAAATTTATGAAATGGGAGAACTTTTTTCGGAACCGCTGACAATTAGATTATTATGTTATGGTTCTAATCACTAATTAAAAGAGCTCTGTTAGCTTTACCCAGTCATATATTTTTACCAGAAATTGCTCTTCTGCCTATATATAAATAAAACTAGGGGCAAAATAATTTGAAGGATCCATAAATCTTTGCATGCAGACTCAGATCCTTTTGAATCAATTTTTAAGTGGATTCACCAGTGTTCTTTCCTCTGAAGATAGTTTACTTAGCCCCAGGGAATAAGCAGAATAAAATAGCGCACAGTCATGTCCCGTGAGAGCAAAGAGCCTGTGGCAGGAGGGAGTGAGAAAGGGAAGTAAGAGACTAGCGACAGTCAAGATTGGGCAGGAAGTTAATCACACACTCAAAATAGGTCATGTTATCATTTTGGGATATTCCGAGTGCTACAGAGTAGCACTGCTCCGTAGGCTGTCTGCTGTAATCGCTACAGAAACAGACTGCCAGGCTTTTCTCTCGTTGTCTTACTGGACAGATTCAAACCGCCAGCCTACAAGGCAGTAGTCATTCCACCCAGGGACCTCAGGCTACCTTAGAAGAATTTATTAACAAAATGCAATTAGAGTTCATACAATCCAGAAAAAGATATTTCACCCTCTTGAGGCTGGCATCAGTACTTTCTATTCCTCATCCTGAAGTGGTCAGGGGAGGGACTGGTTCCTGGATTTTGGAAAGGGATGCTGAGTAAAGAAGATTTAGTTGGGAGACACAGCCAATGCGGGTAGCATGTAACTAGGGAAGTAATTAGTTCAAACTCATTTGACTTATGTCCTCTAAAATGCTGCACTGTTTCCATTAAGCATCCCAAAAGAGATGATCTACAGAGCCAATGGTTTAATCCCTAAAATTTTGTTCCCTAAAGCATAAATCTGAGTGGAAACAGGCAAAGCATTAGTAGAGGAGCAAAGAAAAAGTGTTCAATATAAGGTCATAGAGGACAGAGGGTGCCATATTGGACCGGACATTGAGGGATCACTTATAGATATTTGTAAATTGATGTATACTTTGGCTGCAGTTTAGCCAGTTCTTTCTATAACTAGAAAATAGTTATATTTTATTATTAGTGATTTTTATGACTAGAAAATAACTACTTTTCTTATGGCTGGTCACTGGTGAGATGAACCAACATGCCTTCTCTATTAAAATGGCTAGTAATTAGTAACAATCCTTCCTTCAAAGCTATCCTTCATTTTCATTCGCTCCTCTTTTTCTTTGTTTCCAAAGTTGATCTGGGCAATAGTCAGGTTCGGCATTCAGGTTCTTTTACACAATTGCATTGTTGTTGTTCGGTGCTGAAAGTCAAGTTAGCCTCATAGTGACCCCATATGATACAGTATCACCCCCCCAGCCCCCGCCCCCAGGATTTTCTTGGTTCTTTACAGAAGCAGATTATTACACAATGGTTACAAAACCCACACTTCAGTTGTCAGGACCCATTTGATAGCTACAAGAGAGTCAGAACTGTGTCTCATTCATCTGGCGTGTCTCATATTGATTTTCACTGGTGTCTCCTTAGAGTGAAAATCTATGCACCCCAGGGGCAGAACGGACATGACTTCCACGGAAACAGAAAGCGCAGGGTCCTGTCTGGACTTGTTACTAAATTAGGCATTCCAGCGATTGCCAATGAATAAGTGTTTACTTAATATCAGTAGCTATAACTTGCTCTAAATTTTGCCCCCCAAAATGTTTAATGTCATTTCCATCTGCTTTTAATTAATTTAGCTAAGCTATAACCACCTGAGAGGACATAAAAATTCAAGGAAGAGAGAATTAAAAGAGAATGGAAATCTTCCATGACCTTTTTGAGGCCCCTCATATTTTGTGTTAAATCAAAGGCATGTCATATTTAGAATCAACTACAAACTACATAACAGACTAAAATCACCTTCTCAATATTAACCTAGGAAATACTTAAACAACTTTAATATGGGTATTGCTAGCCTAGATAAATATATGAAATGGGCTAGAAGATTTGGGTTGCAGTCTGAACTCGGTTGTTCTCTTGACATAGAACAATGAGAGGTTTCTTACTTTCTCTGAGCTTCAGTTCCCTCATTTGCAAATGGAGTAGGAAATACTGTGTGACAATAACATATTTAAATAAAATTCTTATTATAAAATCATGAGTATTTGTCATTTAAATGTTGTGATTCTGCTGAGAGTCATATCAGTTCCAGCTAAATGGTTGTCTGAAAATCTTATTGGCTAATGCAACTCAAAAAGGGTAATCACTATTAATTTAATATTTCATAAGAAAACACAAAGGGAAATAATTCACAAAGCAGGTCACCTTTAGTATCATAAAATTGGAAAACTAAACTTGTTGCCATCGAATTTTATCCTAGATAATGGTGACCTTATAGGAAAAAGTAGAACTGCTACTTTGAGTTTCAGATACTTTAAATTTTACAAAGCAGACAGCTTCATGTTTCTGCCACAGAGCACCCTGTGCTAAGCAGCATGGAGGTGGACGTATCCGACCTTCTCTGGCTGCCCTCTTGCCATGAGATGGGGGTCAGACTGGCCTCCCTGGTCCATGCTTTACTTATTCTGACACCACCCATCCCTCCACATCTGTGCTGGGATTCATTGCAATGGCTGCACCGAACTTACAGACAATACTCATGATTAGTGGGTTTATTAGAGTAGTTAATTGGTAACCACAAGTCAGGATCAGCAATAGTAAGCAGAGGCCCTCAAACGTTTTAAACAGGGGGCCAGTTCACTGTCCCTCAGATCCATTGGAGGGCCAGACTATAGTTTTTTAAAAATCTATGAACAAATTCCTATGCACACTGCACATATCTTATTTTGAAGTAAAAAAACAAATGGGGCAAAAACACCCAGCGGGCCGGATAAATGTCCTCAGCAGGCCACATGTGGCCCACGGGCCATAGTTGGGGATGCCTGGAGGGGATAGTTATAGGTCCACAGGCACCAGCCAAATCTCTAGCAGGACTTCAGCCTCTCAGACCTGTGACCTCTGGGCATCTGCTTCGGTGGACCAGGAAGCCTGCTGACTTCTAGCTGTCTCGCAATGTTGTGCAGGATGAGGCGCAGGCACCCCACAGTCTTGCTGCTGCTACTCCCCTGACCATGGCCTCTGGCGCATCTGGCCACGGCAGCCTCCACCACATTAGATAGATAGATGTTGGATGTGCTCTTCCAGTGGTCTTGAGAGTTCTCTCCGTGCCCGAGATAGCTCTGACACTGCGGAAGGACGGTAATGAATGTGTTGTTTTTGTCTTTTTGCTAATCATACTCAGAAGGAAAATGAAGGATGGTTTTATTAAGTCACTTCCTCTGGTAAAGTGGTCTAAAGTATGATTCTAAAGGGGGGTGTGTGTGTGGCCGGGGTGCTATGTGGCGTGGTTTACACCTTTTATTAAAGTCGGGAATTAACTTCACCTTCATCCTGTAATAGAGAAGTCTAGAATTTCAAATATATCACAGAATGAATTCTGGCTCGAAGGACCATATTAACGGACTCCTCTCACGCTGATTGGTGTGATCTGCCGACCTCTTTTTAGCAGCCCAATCCCTAACTCTTATGCCATTGGGACTTCTTGGCAGTACGTAAGTTCAGTGATAACACAATTGCTGAAAGCTGAGTGTTTATGATTAGTCATGCCACGTGCTATGGCCTTCCAATATTAAAAAAAGGAACATCTATTATTTTCCTCCTAAGACTCAGCACCCAGCACAGTACTTAAAATATAATAAAACTCAACAAATATCTGTTAGTTTAGTTTTCTTTTGAATTGTTTGCTGCAGTTATAGAATTTATTATTGTCATCATTTGGTCATCTGAGGCCTAGGGAACATAAGCAATTTTTCTAAGAGCTTATATACCAAACAGAAAAATAAGTTTTAATTTTCACAATGTATCCCACCCCATATTCTCAGAAAGTTGCCTCCTTTGATGATTTACTTAAAAATATTACTCTCTCATTGATTAATTATGGCAATTGGAAATGAAAGACGGGATTCAAGAATTTCAGTCTCTCTGCCATTGCCCTTAAGTGAATGGTGGTGAGAAGTTCTCTAACATGAAGGTGTTTTGTGCAGATCATCTGCAGCCGGATAGAGGAGTACAACAGCCTGCAAATGTTATGCAACGGAAGCTCGGAGGGGCCATTACTGCGCAATCCGGGGAACCATGACAAAGCCAGGACCCCAAGGCTGCCCTCCTCAGCTGATGTGGAATTGTGCCTGAATTTTAAAAACTATGACTCGGGCTCCATGGATAAAGCTGCCAATTTCAGCTTCCGGAACATACTGGAAGGTAATCCTTTTCTTTCATTTTCACTTTAGGAAACTATGTTAAAATCTCTAATCCTGTGCTCAGTGACATTTGATAATTCAGAATTATCTCATTTAAAATGGACGTGAAGTATGGATAGGATGATGTAAAGATGAATAGATAATCAAATTACTACTCCTCACGAGAGTGTGGGCAACACACCACAATTCAAAACTTCAATAATTTTTCAGTAAATTGGATTAGCTGTTGTGTCACTGTTTCATGTCCTTATCATGTTCGTACTTCCTTTCTTTTTTGGTATAATTCATCTTAGGCCTACATGATCCAGGCCTGGAACCAGTGCGTCTCTTCAGAGCAACGGTTCTTTTCAGTAAGAAATTATATTGAAAGACAGATAGCTGGCACACGTTTAGATCACTGGAAAGATGCCCATTATTGCAGACACTGTATTACAGAGCACGGCACGCCCCTTCTCAAGCCCATGCAGACTCAAAAGGCCCTTGCTTGTCCTTAGGAAGAATAGACAGAAACCTTAGTGTCTACAAGGTACATATGGGTAAACTTCTTTTGATAGCTAGGAGATACAACTGCTTCTCAAAAGAGGAGACAGCCTCTCCAAGAGAGGTGAGAAGGGAATTCTTAGAGGAAAGGTGAGAATAAAGAAATTATACCTATTCAGAAAGTACCTGGGGCGATATATATTCATAAGCTGTTATGCCTTATTTATAAGGTTTGGGGCTAGCTCTTGGCGTGGCACCCATGCAGTCCCAGGCTGCTCAATTTTGAAGTGAGTCCTAGTGACATCAAATTATGTCATTCTCACAAATTTTGAATCCTTGGATTCATGAATTCCATCATTCCAGGGTATTTGGTAAGCAAGGGCTCTCTACCGGGCACATTGCTAGTGAGATTCTGGCCAGCTGTTTTTGAAGGATGACTTCTCTAGAGGGCTTATCAGTATTTGTTCCTAAAAGAAACATCTTTTAGGGAGTTAATCAGTTACTTACTCTCTGAGTATACTCGTGAGTTATCGAGGAAGTTCTTTTTAAAGTAATTTGTCTGTGCAGATAGGCTTTAGGTTCAACCCGAATGATTTTCTTATTTCCATTTTATTTACTGTCTCACCTGGATGGGGCATTGTCACAACTCCAAATTAGAGGAAGAAATAGGTGTGTATTAGAAGGTGACAACAGCAACTCAGGCTCTGTTCGTGGCATGCAGTTTGAGATCAGAATACCTAGAGACAATATACCTTTTACTTTGGAATTTACACTTTGAGGAATCACATATAGATATTTTGCAGTAACTCAGATCTCAGGGTAACCATGGAAAACAATTTTTTGACTATGAGCAAGCCAACATCAGTAAGTTTCCTTCAGTCTTAGGCCAGTCTCCCAATGTTTTTGTTGACTAACGAGATAACAGGCCTAGCTTTTAATCACGAACACATAATGTGAGAGAAGACTCTCATCTGTCCCTTCTAAGTGACATCCACACCCAACCTGTCTGCCTTTAAGCAATGTAGCAAATTATAAAAATTCCATGAGAATGCATTGGGCGAACTTCATTTAGTTAGGGGTTTGGGGGCGGTTCTGAATCTCTTAAGTAAAATGACTTGTGCTACAGTATGCATGTGAGTCGCCGAGCCTATCGGTACTACTCAAGTACAGAGCAGGACAGGAGAAACATGAAGAGAAGACAGCTATTCTTGTTCTAGTCTGCTATGTCCATAAATGCATGGGAAAGTGAATTTGTCCTCTTTTAAACCTTAAAGTTAGTGCTTCTCTTTTTATTTTGGACCTTGGGTAACGTACTTCCTATGGAATGAAATCTCACAGTAAGTGTCGCAATGGAAGAACTATTAGGCTTTTGTCTACTCAAGTCATTTATGTAATCTCAGCTTTCCTCTTAGATTCCAATGCTGAAATAAAGACTACAGATATGCGATCTATGAGTTGTGTAAAGGGACCTCATGTTCCCAAATAAAGTAAAGCAAAAGAAGCCTTGTAAAATGTTCTAAGCAGGCCATTGAGTGGTTCAGGCACAGAGCTGCTAAACAGGATGTTGGAAGGTCAAAAGCACCAGCCACTGAAGGAAGCAGATGGTCCCCAGTTAGTAAAAAGAATAGCCTCTGGGGTCTTCCTGACTTGTCTTAAAACAAACAGCCATTTCCATGAGATGCCATCTAAGTTCACTCCGAAGAAGTACACCAGCCTATGTGATTCTAGGATTATAAATAATAAACTCTAAAACTGGAGGAGGGAACAGTACTGGAGCACAAATTTGGAACAACTCGTTTGCCGTTGTTCTTGGATGACAGTGGAAGCCCCAAATCCAATTCCAGGGTCCCCACAAGGATTAAGCTTTAGTTGAATCCCCTCTGGCTATAGACCAGGGATGTGAATAGTTTTCCTATCAAATTGCATTGGAAAGTATATTCTTGCAGATGTGGTTAGGTTAACATTTAACAATTTATCATTTGATCTCATTTTTGGACCCATTTGAAAGTTTCTCTAGTTCTTAATATTGTGTGCTTTCTTTTCAATTGAGGTTTTTCCCCGTTTTGTTTTGTTATTTTGTTTTTGTTGTTTTTGGGGGAGTGACGGGGTTGACCAATTTTTCTGTACATAAAATCCAGGGTTGGTCAATCTATAGAGAAAGTAAGTGTGTTAGAGCTGTATTTTTTTAATGGGTGTGGCAGGGAAAATTGGAGGGAAAGAGCACAAGAAAGAAGAAAATATTATAAACTGATGTGTTAATGATTGCACAAATCTTTTTAATATGATTTAACTATTAAATTGTAAGATGTATAGATCATATGTAAATAAACCTATTTTTAAAATTAAAATAAGTTAAAAAATCACTTTATGGGAGAAAGATGAAGAACCCTGGTTCTATAAAGTTTTACACAGCCTTGGAAACCCTATGGGATCATTAAACTTCATCCTATAAGGTCGCTAGAAGTCATGTTCAACTCAGAGGCAGGGAGTTTGGGTTTGGTTTTTAGTCCAACCCCCCACCCCCACCCCACCCACCAAAAAGGCAAATTCATTTCTAATTCCTAAGGGTGGTTAAATTTAAACAACAATCTCTTTCTTTGTACAAATCTCCGACTAGACTTGGTGTCCTGTTTTACTGTCAGGAGTGTGTGGGAGTGTGTAATGCGTTGTGAGATGCTCCCTGAGAGTGCTGGCAGTTTAGTCCAGTAGACAAAGGCAGTGGCCTCTGTATCAAATCACCGACGTTTGCATCCGAGCACCATCACTTTCTAGATATGTTGCCAAGAACAACTCTTTAATGGCTCTGTGTCTTTGTTCCACCTTCTATAAAATGAAGATAACGATAGCAACTATAGGATTAGTGTATTGATTATATAGAAAGCACTAAGCCTATTTCTTTCTGTTAGGAAAAAAGAGAATAATTTATGAATTTTTAATTCATAAATTGCCTCAAATATAATCATGATTATGAGTGTGATGAAGACCTGGGCAGTGTACCCAAGACCGCTATGACTTGATACCTACTCCACAGCATCTAGCAACAACATTGTTATATGAAGCGAGGAGTAATTACTATCAATTCAGTTTTCAATGATCAATTTCTCTGACAACTTAGAAACTAAATAGAGGTTCTTTAGCAAAAACATCATGATTAGTAATGCTTAGTGGAAATATAAAAAGGAAGAATAGGGTAAAAAAAATTCTGGAGTTAGTTTCCAGAAATTTAAAGATATTTAAAGGGGAATTCTCTCACGTGAGGAGACAATGTGAAGATTCTGGGACCCCAAAAGCAAAAAGGTACAGGAAAGAGAAACAACTCCCATTTACTGGTGCGTTTCCATCCCTGAGCTCAGCACCAGATGATAATAGACGCTCAGGTTCCATAGACTGACCTACAAATCAATATGTTAAAGAAAACTAGAGTCATTTATACAGCTCTGTGCATTGAGGTGCTAACTCCAAAGTCAGCAGTTCAAATCTACCATCCACTCCTCGGGAGAAGATGAGCCTGTCTGCCCCTGAAGGATTTGCAGCCTCAGAAGTCCGATATAGAGTCGCCTTGAGTCCGAATGGATTCAATGGCAATGATCTTGAGCTAAGGATGAAGAGGAGACGCCTAGAGTATAAAAGTAGTAGCACCTGGTGATTGACTGAATGAGGCACAAAAGTGAGAAGAACTTGAGAATTATTCTGAAACTCCTCCAATGGACCTATTTGTCCTCGCAGCAAATCTAATTTACCTTTGCACTCACTGCTTTCTTTGTAGCTGTTACTGCGAACCACTTCACCACTTCCTTTGCTAGGATTTGAGGAGGAGCAGACTAGAGCGGGTTAAATGAGATCTTTGAGTGGCTTGGATAAAAGATACTAAACATTGTAAAATTTGGTATAGATGCTTTCAATGAACAGTGCATATTTGAGTATTCAAATAGAAAAGCCACCTAGCCATGACAAGGTCTCAAAGGAAATTCTAGTTTCTTATCATCTAACCTGACAAATGGATTTTTAAGGCTTTCCAGAAATTATCAGATTCATTAAAACAGACTCAAAATCTAAATTCTGTTGAAATTTTCTATATAAATATCAATAGCAAGGAGGTGGTTTAAATGTGATAATGTCTTTCTGAAGATCAGAAGACACAGCCCTCTTCTATACACCCTCTTTACCACTCCTGAGAGCTATGGAAACCTGAGTTATCAGTGTTTTCTGATTCAAATAGCGGTGGAGAGGCCTGAGAAGATTCTCCACACCAGGAAAACATTTCTGGAGACATTTGGGGTTTGCTTTGAATGTTCCTTTGTCATCAGGAAAAGATAATACCTTTATAAAACTCAGAAATAAGATAGTTTTTATTGTTGATTAAGGTCTTGTGGGTAATTATTCTGTAATTCATTTAAATATCATTAGGATAGATACTTCTCTCAATTAAGAATTAATATTGTGTGATAGGTTTGGAAAAACAAATCAAATATAATTTCTATTACCGCAAAAGCCTGCTAAATTCAGTCAGTATTCTGTCTC